CTTTGAGATACCTTTCAGAGGCAAGAAAGACATTTTGAATGTGTATTAGGGAGGCAAACGTCTACTGGGCCCTATTTTAGTTTTTAGAAATAATCCAGTCAGTCCCATAGTTTTATGAATCAGATGTCCAATTGGATAATAGCAATTTGTGAATTTAAAAAAAAAAAGGTTGATTATGAATTATCTGGGTGGTTAAGTTGCTTTCTGTGCCGACAGCAGGCTTGCTGGGGCGAGACTCAGGCATCCAGGGCTGAGCAGTAAAGCCGGGATGGAGCGGGCCACTGTGGGAGCCCAGGGGAAAGTGCCCACAGAACCCCGCCTCTCCTAGGCCGAGTTCCGGGGAGAAACGCCTGCCTTCTGACCCCACAAGGGTACGCGACAGTTAAGCAGTTCACTGGGCGTGTGCCCGGCAGAGGGTCCAGTTGGGAGGGACTGGCACATTAGGCAACGCCAGTCTAGAACTGTGGCTGGAGCAGGGCATGTAAGGGCGGGGCGGGGCTGAGCTGAGGACAGTGGGAGAGTCGGCGGAGAGGGCTCCTCTACAGAGAGTACATCCGCTGCAGCCATGGAGAGCCCGGAGCGTTGGACAACTGTGGATTGACGATTATGGAGGTGACTCTGACTGGAGTTTAGTAGATGATGGTCAGGCAGAGGCTAGGGGCCGAGTTCCCAGCAAAAAGATGCTTTGAGTAACTTGTACAAAATGATTACACCCTAAGTCAAGTGGGGTGGAGAAGAGATGCTGAGGGGGTACAGTCGATGGGACTTACTGGTCAGTTACTTACATAGGGGGGTTGGGCCTGAAGGTGACTCCAGGCTTCTGGCTTGGGCGTCCAGGTGGGTCCAGGTACCATCTGTCAGGACTGGGCACAGAGGCTGAGGGACAGGTCTCGTGGGAAAGTGATGCAGTTGGACATAGTGGGGAGGAAAAGTTTCTTTTCTTCTTAGTAGCAGCAGGCCCACTGCTGACTCTCAGCTTCTGCCTGTACTCCATGGGATGTGGACTTTCCATCTCAGCAAAACATCTCTTTTTCTGAAATGAAATGTGTTAACTCTTAGCAAGGCCATGGGGTAAGTAAGGCTCTGACCGGAGCAGAAAGCGAGGCAGCTCCAGGGAAAGGATCTTTTTCTAAGAGTGCCTGGCGTTGTATTCTCAGCAGG